AGTGGCTTTAGCTTTTCAGTGCAGTGCTTTAACCCGCTGCGCCACCAGGGAGGGCCAGTGCTTGGCCATTTTAAATGAGCATATCATTTGGTCTAAAGACCACCCCAGAGAAAAACTCTGACCTTCAAAGACACATAAACAATATCCTTTACAGCACTGTATACAAAAGGAGAAATGAGTTTAAACATATATGACAGGAGAACTGTTAACATAAATTATGGGGCCTCCGGTGTGTGAAACTGCAACTTTAAAAGAGGGGCTAGAGCTATGTAAATGGGGATTTTTCTTGTACCAAGAGAGTTTGTTGAGTGAAATAAAGTTCTAGTACAATGGTTACTATATAGAATTTAATTTATACCCTCCTAATTTATACCCTACCTATGTGTGGAGATGGAAAACAAAGAATTTGGAAGGAAGACACCAAAGTGGTACTAGTAGTTGTCCCGAGGAGAAACAGAATGGAGGGGCCTTCTCTTGTAATTTCCCCCATTTTCACTACAAAGAAGCGCGTATTTTTCTTGTACAGTTTTACTGTTTAAAGGCCATGCCAAATTAGAATGGAGATCAGCCAGCCCTGTAAAAAAAGAATCATCTGTAGAAATGGGTACCCTAGAGAGAGAACCTTAGTGTCTACAAACACTTCCCACAAGAGAGTGGTAACCTGGGCAAAGGTGTGGCCTCTGGCGTACCTCTGACACCCCCAATATGAGCTGAAGGCATCAGATTGCCATAGTGATACATCTAACTTTTGCTGTATCTCCTTCCTTTTTGTGTGAGCATGTACATCTGCCCAAGAAAACAGAGGAAAAGACCCTTCTGTGTGTCTGATTTCTTGCCTACCTAACCACAGGAGGAGACGGTAACAACTGTGGGAGACCCAAGCCTCTGGGCCATGTGACAAACATGCATATCTTGGTGTAAGAAAACACATTAGGATTTTTATTCTAACATATCATGGTTGTAACAGTTTTGTGAGCCCAGAAAATGAGGCTTTTCCTCATTTGGACATGGACCCACAACTGGACAAACCCAGCTTCTAGGTCAACAATTGTGAGACCAGATCCTTGCCTCAGTGGTGAGACAAGTTTACCAGATAGTAGGTACAATGTATGCAGCTTCTCCCCCAGAAACCCCAAAATGTCCTGTGTCTTATAAGACACAGTCCAAATGTTTGCAGTCTAGGTTATCACTCCCATTGGACAGGTAAGGAAACTGAAAATACATCTGAGATAGTAGGAATGGACCCAGACTCCGCAGAACCTAAACCCAAATCTGTGCCTCTTCATCACCCTAGAAGAGCCGCCTTCTCCTTTTCCAACTAAGCAGAGAGGAAACCAAGCCTGAATGATTCTCTTGTGGAGAATTACTCACTTAGAAACAGATTGGAGTGGGGATTAGACCAGAAGCCTGGTTGATCACACCTGAGATCAGCTGTTCATGGTGGGGCTTCCTGTCCCTGAGGCACTCCACCCTTTGCTTCTGGTCTCAGTGGTGGGCATAGTCAGATTTACTGGGGTCATGGGTTCTAACTCTGACAGGTGTGTGCCATGCCAGATAGCAGAGAGAAATGTGCAGAGACAGAACCTATGTTCTGGGCTTCATGTGGCACATAAACACCCCACCAAGGCATCTCCCGGGAAAGCAACAAAGGCTCATTCACCCTCCTGGACCTGCTGACCACAAGCTGTCACCACTTCTGAGCCTATAGTCCCCAGATGCAGGTGGGAACATGACTTCAGCACTCTTACCAGCCTTTCTCTGGCCTTCCATCTCACACTTTGATGTGGTCAGCACTTATGTGTGTCCCACTCATGATGCTGAGAGCCACCCCTTCCTCACAAGGGTCCCTAAGATAATAATAGTCCTATGTAAACCTACTCCTGGCCTGTGGACACCGAGAACAAGGTCAATCAGTTTTTCCCTCTTGGAAGCCATCATCGTCAGTGTTTGACTAGGGAAGAAATGAAACTCAGAGTTAGGTGGGAGGAAGACAAGGCGGAGTGGGTAGCTGCCTTCTATCAAGTGGATAGAGAGTAAGGGTGAATACTTCTGGAGAGTTAAGAACAAAAGCAGCAAATAGGAAAAAAGTCTCGAGATCAGACAGGATCACAGAAGCAGAGTATGGTAGTCCTGGCTTCTGGAAAACCAACAGTTATTTCCTTCACATGGATACCTGAGGACACCATAGAATAACCCTCTCTCCCTTCTCAAATTAGTTTGAGTGCCATGCTTAAACTCCTCCATCTTTTCCCCCTTATTATGAATACTCAAACTATCTATGGCAGCTTTGGAAAACAGGCTGGCAGTTTCTCTGGGTCACCAAAGGACCCAGAAACACTGCTCCTAGGCTTCTACCTGAGAAAAATGGAAACATATGTCCACATAAATCCTGTGCATACATGTTCACAGTAGCGTTATTCATAAAAGCCCCAAGGATGTTTGGAAATAAACCCAATGTCTGTCTGTTAATGAATGGTGTGTGGTGTGTGCACATACAATGAACAATTACTCAGCCATAGAAAGAAATGAAGGTCCTGTCCTTGTGATCTCCAGGATGCATCTTGAAAACTACTACTACATGAAAGAGGCCCGTGTGTTAGATAGAGCCAGGAGACTCTGATCCCCACCAAATTTTCTCTGAGTAGAGAAGGATCCTGCAGACATTGTCAAAGTTTGTGCCAGAAGTGCAGAGTCTGACTTTCTTCAGAAAGTTGGCAGGACATGCCTGGCACAGAGTAGACACTAGGCACAAAGGAACAATGACAGGTTGAACTTTACAGAGCCCTGGATCCTGGGAAACAGCCAAGATTACAAAGCCCCTGCTCTGTACTGCGAAGAAGACACTATCCCAAATGCTTCCTGGTTACCTAGGACAGAGCCAGAACCAGCCCCTCCAAATGCCCGATCTTTGTTAAATAAGTGGTTAAGTGAATTGTTTGTCCCCCATGAATACTGGAACAAAGTGCCTGTTAACTACTCTTTGGGGTAGATTATCTTCTGCACCACATCCTGGCCACCCTCTAGACTATAGGCCTGGTTGGGGTATGGTTAAAGTAAACTTTCTTCTGCTATCTGCAGTGTTCACCCCACTTCCCCTTTGAATAAAGTCTCTCCTTATCAACTCTGGGTTTCTTTATTTGACAGTGAATTAATAAGACCAAAGTGTGCTGAAGGTCATTCCTCACCTAAAAGGAAGGAGAGCAAAGTTACCTAGCCCTGCTACCCCTACAGTGTTTGACTCAGCTTCCTTATCTGTAAAATATTGTCAGGTAATATTAGTGTTAAACATCTTGGTTAAGATACAGACTGTCTAAATCTGCCTTTTCCACATATGTGCCTTGGGAAATGTTCCATCAGATCATTTCCTATGTGCCAAGGTCAGAGGGTCTGGGAAGACATGTACCTGGGGAGTTAGCTACTCCCCTGTCAAGACATTCTGATCCTCCTCTCTCCTGAAACCCAAAGACAAGCCTCGGGCTTTCATGCAAAGGCAGAAGTTTCACAAGTTAACAAACAGTGGCCTCTCAAAGTACAGGTTGCATGCTCACAGAATACTATTAGCACACCCCCCAAACATTAACTCACTGAATCCTCAAAACGTCAAGGATAGGAAATTCAAATCTTCAGATCATAGGACTTAGCACATAAAAGGTGGTCAATTATACACACATGTTGCTCAAATGTGCAGTGGAATGTGAATGCTTG